CTCCCTCTATTACCCTCCTGGCTCCCCTCCCCATGCCCTGAATAAACTCTATTCTATGCTATACGGGTGTGTGACTGATCCCTCAGGGGGAAGGAATGCCTCTGCATGGGCTCACTGAGACATCCCTTTCCTCCGTACCTCTCCACATGCCCGCAGAACATTCTCTCTTTCTCTCTTTATCTTTTTATAAACAGATCACTGAGAGCCTCAAGTTCTTGACAGCCACTGGCCAGAGACATATATCCCTCCTACACAGGTTCCCTCACAGAAAAAGCTATTGAAAACACGGCACCTAACTTTGTCAGAATGAGGGACCTGAGAGAAAATGAAGGTCAAAAAGAAGGACCCAAAAGAAAGCCTTAGCCTTTGTCGCCATCTTGACTCTGACTATTCATTTCATGAGAAGCTTTGTAGCAAGCCAAGCTCCCATCCAGTGGTGGGGACTACACAAGGGCATTGCAGTGAGAGTCAGGAATGGATGGGGCGTCTCAGAGTCTTACAGTCTCATAGGGAACATCATCAGCAAACCTCTCTGTAGCTAGAATCCTATGCTGCTGTTTATCCATTGCTTTGTTTATGAGGTAGACATTCATTGATATCTGTGACAGTACTTTGTGTGTGTGCACTTTGAGGTAGCAAAGACATCCTCTAAGGTCTTTATAGTCATCCACACATTTTTTTTCTCAGTTAAAAAAAAAAAAGAATGAAAAAAAAAAAAGACATCAACATTCCCTGGAGCTGTTTCTCAGTTCTGTGTGCCCATGAGAACTTCACAGACACCATGACTCCAATAGGCTTTCCTGCTCAGAAACACTACTAAGGGTGATGAGATTGCTCATTGGGTAAAAGCACTTGCTACCAAGCCTGGCAGCCTGACTTCCCCAGGACCCACATAGTGGGAGGGAATTGACGCCCTCAAACTGTCTTCTGAACTACACACGCACACACACACACACACACACACACGGGGAGGGTGGGGGAGAATAAATTTCTGAAAAGAACTACTAATAAGAAACATGCTCATTTTGATCTCTAAATACTATAGTAAAATGTAGATACAGAACACTCTAAAAAGAACCTACCAGCCCCAAACCCAAAGGCACCCCCAACATCCACCCCCTCTGACTGTTCTTGAGAAAGATTATTCAAATTCTACTTGATGCCAAGTTCCCAGAAAGAACCAGAAGGGGGGCTGATTCCTATCCAACACTTGCTGTTTAGGCAAACCCTCTCTGCCTCTCTGCCTCTGCTGTGCTTTGTATGTGATATATGTTCAAGTGTTGTTCATTTAAAAAGCAAACTGAAGTGAACCACACACTACCTCAGGAGTCCCAAGAAGACAGTGTTTTTAACTAAGAATATTATTTGAAGTCTTTGCAAAAGAAAAAATCTATGCTGGCTTTCCTTTGGAAATAGTTTTCCTGTAAACTTTTGACAATAGTTCCTGATGGAGAAAGGACAAAGAGATAGAAGGAAAGTCCTGTGTGACAAAAGCTGGAGGGAGTTGTTTATTTCCTCAGTTCTGTACAGTCAGGGTCTTTGGAGTCTCCTGCCTGCTTTGATCTTTCTTGATGCCAAGACTCAAAGGGGCGAATGGTGTGTTCATCAAAGACAGACTACTGTGTGCTGTGAGTCTCTCCTTTGCTATCACAAGGGGTTACTCTACAGGGCACAGATATCCCCAAGTCCTCTAAACTTCTTAACCATTTACAATCTCAAAATGTGACCCTATATGGAAATAATGTCTCTGTAGATATAATCAGTTAATGAGCTTATGATGTCACCCTTATTTAAAAATAAAAAGAGAGGACACAGATATAGCCAAGGACACAAAGCAGCAGCAAGGATTGTGCTCGTCTTGTATAAACTTGTGATTTTATAGTAAGATCATGGTATGTTACATATTGATCTTCCTCTCCAGTTGCAGCAGATGGCTTCTAAGACTCTGTGCATTCTCTTATCTGTAGCTTGCATTTGCTTTTCGTAAAGCTTTCAATATACTTTTTAAATTATATATACTTAATGTCTTAATTATGATATGCTTTCAGTATACTTTTTAAATTATATATACTTAATGTCTTAATTATGATATGCTTTC